CAGGTGCCCCAGTAGGTGCTGCTACCCTAGTAGGTGCAGGTGCCCCAGTAGGTGCTGCTACCCTAGTAGGTGCAGGTGCCCCAGTAGGTGCTGCTGCCCCAGTAGATGCAGGTGCCTTAGTAGGTGCTGCTGCCACAGTAGGTGCTGCTGCCCTAGTAGGTACAGCTGCCCCAGTAGGTGTTGTGGGCATGGGAGCCTCAGCTGCTTCTGAAGGTGCTGACACTCCTGGAGCCCCTGCCACCTCAGTAGGCACTGCCACCCTAGGAGCCTCAGCTGCCTCAGTGGGTGCTGCCCTCTCGGTAGGCACTGCTGCCCCAGGACCTTCTGCTGTGCTGGGGGCTTCTGCTACTTTGGGAGTCCCTGACATTGCAGGGGCCTCTGCAGCTGTGGGAGCCTCTGCCACCCCAGAAGGTGATGCAATTGCAGAATCCACTGCATCCCTGACTTCTGATTCAGCCTTAGGGCCAACCCTGGGCACATCTGCCTCCTGGGCCTGACTTCTTGCCCCACTCTGAGCCTCAGCACTGGGTACAGCTGGGGCCAGTGCTTCAGCTCCAGCCACGTCCAGAGCAAAAGCTTCATCCTGGCTCCTGTTCTCTGTCCCAGCCTGGACTGGGGTTGGGGGACTAAATCCTGGCCCAAGGTCAATCGTGAATCCAGCCCTTAGCCCTGCTCTAGCTCTGACTCCAGTCCCAGCCATAGCCCGGTTCTTGGACTTGACCATTCTCTTCTTTGTCTGGTCTCTTCCCCTGGTGTATTTGTAGACACAGTACCAGGCACCAGCTCCGATCACGATCCCCGCCGCTACGCAGCCAGCATCCCGAACTCGGCTCATGGTAGAGATGGCGTGATTTTCTGATCCAGGGTGTAGAACTGGCTTGCCCAAGTAGATGTGTGCTCGTCTGGCCAAGGTTATTCAGCTTAGGCTTGCAAGTTCTGCAAGAGGCTGCAAGCCAAGCAGGACCTAGGGATAAAGGATAAAATTGAATCTAAGGGTTCTGGCTCACTTCTTTTGTGTCTAACCAGGGCTACTTAAAGGAGAGTTTGGAAACACATGGCTCAGTGGGCAGGCTAGCACCCAGATACAGGTGCCAAGGCCTGCAGTTTGCTGATTCAAAGGCCTAGTTGGTCAGCAACATTTTCAGTACCTTCAACCCTAACCTGCCTTACCAATGCCAACATCTACAACTTCCTAGCACTAAGTCAGGGGTGGGGGGATGAGAGGCAGTAGAGACATAGGGAAAGCAGATGGAGAGCAGGAAAAACAGTGGAGATCTCAGGTTCTGCTTTGATGCCCCAACCTCCACTCCAAGGTCACTACATCATATTCATGCACATACCAATCTCCTGGGATCAGGAGCAGTTTTCTCTTTTCTTGTACTTGAACAAAGCCCCAAAGGCAGACAAACCTGTGGACAGATCATAGAAAGGGCATTTTTGAGCCATTGGTGGATGATCTGCCATTTCTTTCCTGATTTGAACCCTTTTTGGGTCAAAAGTTTCCTTTTCTCAAGGCTCCTCTTTTCCTCCTACCCTTTCCTTTTCCAACTATTAACTAAGAAGATGGATGCCACGCCCCTTTCTCTGCACCACCAAGCAAGGGCCCGGGTCAAGAGAGTTTTAAACCCAGAGAAGATGCAGGAGGAGGAACCTCTGGTCCCGCCCTCAGCTCTGGTTTCAACCACACCCACACCAGTGTTTCCCAGACAATTCCCGCCCCCAAGACTCACCACCGGGGATTTAGAGCTGTTGCTCTTTCCTTCACTTTAGAGCTTCATCCTAAAGACAGACTGAAGGGCATAAACGTAGACTACAGACCGTGAAGACTGAGAACCTGGTGGGTGGATCAGCACCTGGGACAGGAGTCCCAGTCATTGCCTTTTAGTATCCGCAGATCATAACGTCAACCAATTCTACCTCTCAATTCCCTCAACTCTTCTCACCCCTCCCTTCCCACCCCAACCCCCAGTCCTGCGCAGGCTCCTTATTCAACCCCTCCTTCCTCTTTGCCCCTCCCCGTCCGCCATTTCTCCCAGACACACCGCCACACCCCTTTTCCTGCACCGAAATGGGAGGGGGCGGGGCGAGAGTGCAGCGAAAGCTGGATGGGAAGCAGCCTGCGAGATTCCTGCCAAACAGTTTATCGTCCCCCTCCTAGGAGTACCCGTCCTTCAGGCCCCATCCCCCAGGCCAGCATTAGCCTGCAGTAGTCTGCAGAAAAGGAGCCCCATCGTCTGCCTTTTTGGTTGGTGTCAGGGTCGTTATTTTCCACGGTATCTCCGCTCCGGGCTCTGACTTCTATTCCCCCCCACCCCCAAATTCCCTGATAACCGCCATTTCTCCCTCCTGCATACCAGAACTCCTTTTCTGGGACTGAAAAGACTGGGGGTGAACAGTTGTGTGGGCCGGAGGTATCTGGAAAGCTGTCTGGGAGTTAACGGTTTAATACCAAATTCTTTCAGGGTCCCCCCTCCCCTTGGGAAGCCCAGACAACGTCAAACCCTCTGTCTCTCTCCAACACTGGTTGGCACACCCATTTCCCAGTACCTTCAAAGGACAGGGGGCGGGCCGGGGGAAGGGAGGTTGAGGGGGTGAGAGTAGTGGGAGATGTCCGCAAAGTGAGGGTGGGATCGAACATTCCAGATTGTTTCCAAATTGTGTTCGCCCCCAGGTCACCTTTTGCCGGCCTCCCCGCTGGCTCTTATTTGCGCTGCCACGTTTATTTCTCTTTTCTCCTCCTCTCAAAGCAAGACGGGATGTGGGGTGCGGGGCCTGAGTGTCAAAAATAAAACCAGAAAACACTGCCTGCAAGAGGCAGTATGCATATTCTCAGTAAAGTCTATCAGTCTTTTCGTTCTCCCCTTCCCTCCTCCCCACCGCCCACTAATATGAGCTGTGTCTGAGTTCCTTGAGTCTGGAAAGCCGACCAGGAGCTGGGGAGGCGGAGGTGCCCAAGGTCTCAGATGCCCGCATCCCTAACGTACCGCTATGCAGGGGGCCCAGGTCGTGCCCACCCTCGCACCCACCTGCCCGGATCTGGGGGGATTTTTGTCCTCCTCCTCCTCCTCCTGCTCCTCCTCCTCCTCCTTCTCTTCCTCTCTTGGGTTAAACGCAGGGCAGTGCGCAGCGCGATAGAGTTGGTACCCAGAGGAGGACGGAGAACTGCGGTCAGAGCTTTAAGTGCCTTTGCCCACGTCAGCTCCTGGTCACGTGAGGACTGCATCACCAGTAAGCTTGGGTCCCCAATTTCCACTCCCACCAAGAATACGAGCTCCCTCCTTTATCCCCACTCCTACCTCACCCCACTACATCAGGTCCTGTCACTCATATTTTGTCTTTGTAGTCCTGGAGGCCAAATGTAGCCCCATCTCCCAGCTATTGGAATTTTCCTTTCTGTGGTTACCAGGATGGGCTGTATCTTCAGGGAGGGCTATTGACACTTCCCCCCCTTTGATGGGAGAATTAATTGTCTCATCCTTTCCTGGGCTGTTGTACACTCTTCCCTCCCTCCACCTGCAATTCCCCAACCTCAAGTCTCCCCACGCTCATTGTCCTTGCTCCAGTGTAGGTAAGGGATGGAGTGTCAGAAAAATGACAAGGAGTGGGATGGGGCCTGTACTTCTGGAATTCTCCTCTGTTTTATTTTCTAAAAATGATCAACACTCTTTATAGTAAGAAACTCCAATAAAATAAGAATTCAGTGTGGAAAACAGCAACAAAAAAGGGAGGGCCAGTTTGCCAAAAGTAAAAAAAAAAAAAAAAAATCCACTTTCATTGGGATGCATCATTAATTTTGGTTAATTTTTACCACATAGAACATGGATTTTATTGGTTACATAGGAAATAGTTTTCAGAACATGCTAAGCTACTTGAACATCTAAAAATAGGATTTTTTCTCAATAAGATAAGCATATTTCCATATACTCTGTGAATTGACTCACAGAGAGATGTTCAGTTGCCCAATCTTATTTAGTTTGGACAAATAATATCCTACTTTTTCAAGGGCAGCTGTTAAGTTGGATAAATACATGATCCTGTCTCGTTCTGTTAGAGAAAACATTTATTTAGTATTTCCAAACCATTGCTGACTGCTTTGTGAACCTCCTTTAATTTGATGGCTGTAACTGTGACAGTTTTGAACACCTGTCCCTGGATTAGGTTCCAGTCTAGTGATTCAGGTGTGGGAAAAAGGAAGTTCTGTGAGGCCAAGGAAACTGGGAATGTGAAGGGTGCAGGGTGGTCAGATCCTCCCTGCCATGTCAAGAGGATGGGGGAAAGCACTCTTCCCCAACATATTCCAGAGCCTCTCATCCCCTGCATTCAGCCACCCAACTCAGATGGTCACTTCCCAGATATATTTGGACAGATGACCAAGGTAGAGACCTGGATAAATGCCTTTGGCTTCCTCCTTCCCTCCTCAAAGTCTCAGGAGTAACCCAGGGATGGGTAGAGGGGATTGCTGACCCTGCCGCTGAGGATTTCCAAGAAGCTGGAAGAAGTGATTGCTGGGTGAAGCTCCCAGCCTGCTGTCTGTCCTTATTCATGGTGCCCAGTCAACATTACTCCTAATGCCATCTGCTACTACCACGTACCACCTGGTCTTCCAAGTGCATCCTCCTGGGCCTTTCACCTCCTTACCTCCAGGGCACCTAGGAAGAGTCTAGCCTTGCTGCAAGGTTACTACCTGATAGTCCACGTATACCTTGGTGCCCCCTCAGCCAAATGCCCAGGCTGAAGGAATGATCCCCACTGACCACACTGATTAAGCCAGAGTACGTATTCTCATCCGACCAACTCTGTGGTCCACCTGAAATTGTATTCACCTGAAAAGCTTTGTTTTTGATTGCATGTATGGTTAAATGTATTGTTTTCAGAAGTAGAGATCACTGAATTCATCAGTTTCTCAAGGGGTCTGTGATCCCTTTCCCAAATATTAAGAACAAATACAATGCCATATATATATGATTCCCAAATCATATGCCATATATATATATATGATTCCCAAAAAATGATTCCTAATCTGGATATATATATCCAGATTAGGAATCATTTTTTGTTCTGGCAATAAAATTATATATATATATTATATATATATTATATATATAATCAAAAAGTTATTCCTAATCTGGATATATATATGGGGCACTGTATTCCTAATCTGGATATATATATATAGGGCATTGTATATAAAAATATCCAAAACAATAAGGGAACATATAAAGTATGCAGGGAAAGAACCCTGTTCTACGTTTTCTACTCCCAGCCACTGCTAACAATTTCCAATTTTCTTTCATGAACATATTAGTAAGTGTCTTTATGCTTATTAATCAGGTTCCAAATTGAGCAACAATAACAAAAAAAAGCCACTGGGATTTGTAATGTTGCTGTAGGAAATCTGCAGAGTAATTTGAGGAACACTGACACCTTCAATTGAGATCCCCCCAGGCAATGCGGTAGATACACTTTATTTTGCTCCATTCTATTTTTATGTTTGTTAACCACATTTTTTTTTTGCATTTCTTCAAAGAAATAATTCATATTGTTAGGTATTTTGTAGTCTCTGTGGCTGATATGCTCTTCCTTTTCGGATAGAAAATTTTGTTTAAAATAAAACGTTTCATTTGGTATATTTACTTTGCATCTGCCAATACTTACAACTTGTGTCATTAATTCTAATAGTTTTTAGGTAATGACCTTGGTTTTCCTAGGTATAGATTGTACATAATCATTTGTAAATGAGGATTTTTCATTTCTTCCTTTTCAAAGTGTATGCCCCTTTTTCCTTTTCTGCATATATTAAATTGGTATCCTTGAGGGCCTTCTGATCTTGTTCTTGAAGTCAATGGAAATGCCTCATTTGTTTTATCATCTAGTGTAACTTTACTGTTTCTGATATATTCTCTTTTTTTCAAGGTTACTGTCACTGTTTACCGGCATCTCCCCCCCCCACCACATTTGTAGTACAAAGAAGTACTATGAGTAAATGGTAAGGTAAGTTGCAAGTTTTGTGGTCTTGGTATCCCACAGGGAATGGAATGACAAATTTGCCGGATAAGAACTTGGAATACATACTTCATCAGATTAAGGATATTTTCTTTTCTATCTAATTTGATTTATCCAAGAATAACTCATTAAATTACCTACAATTCTCTACTACATAAACGAAGTTTCCTCCTATTCCTATTTTACTGATGGTTTTGAAAAAATGAGGAATAGCTGACTTATTTTATCAAATGCTTTGATTGTAAGGTGTCTTTTCTCCTTCAGTTTGCTGTTGTCATGAATGATGTGGATAGACTAGTCTCCTTGTCACTCTTGTGTCCCTATAGTCTATTCTGGAGACACATGCCTCTTGTTCAAACGCTCCTTGTTCAATGTTCCACCCACTGCCTGTGTTGTTTAGAGTCAATACAAATGTCCTTACAACAACTGACAAAGCCCTACCCTATTTAGCCTTATTACCTTCTTGCCTCATCTTCTGTTGCTCTCTGCTCCAGTCATTCTGGCTCCCTTGATATTGCCGGAACATATTGGGAATATTCCTTTCACAGAGGAACATTTGCTTGTCCTCTTCCCTGGGATGTTCTTCCCCCAAACATCAATCACCATACTTAGATCTTTCACTGAATTTAGCTCTTCACTCAAAGATTACCTTTTGACTGAGTCCTTCCCTGGTCACCCTTTCTAGGTTCAACTTATTTAATTGCTTATCTCTTTGACTAGAATGTGAGGGTCATGAGGTTCACTGCTGTAACCATAGCATTGACAAAATTTCATGGCATATGTTGTTAGATGCTCAGTACAATTGTTGAATAATTGAAGAAATGAAATGAATGCGTTTCCAGTGTTGAATTACCCTTGCACTCCAGAAATAAAGCCCAGTTGATTACGGTATATTATTGGGTTTTTAAACTCTCAGATAAGTGATTAACTAAATCAGGGTGTTGTCTTGTGATAAGATGTAGAAGACAGGAAGTTGCTTTGAACAACATGCAAAACTCATTATGCAGTGAGAATTATTGTTTATGATACATGCATGTTTTTTTTTTTTGAGACAGAGCCTCAAGCTATCCCCCTGGGTAGAGTGCCGTGGCATCACAGCTCACAGCAACCTCCAACTCCTGGGCTCAAGCGAGTCTCCTGCCTCAGCCTCCCAAGTAGCTGGGACCACAGGCGCCTGCCACAACACCCAGCTATTTTTTGGTTACAGCCATCATTGTTGTTTTGGTGGGCCCAGGCTGGATTCAAACCCGCCACCTTAGGTGTATGTGGCTGGTGCCTTAGCCAGTTGAGCCACAGGTGCTGAGCCAATACATGCATGTTTGTGTAACAGAATCCATTTTCTACTTTCAGCTTCCTTTCCTGACTCTCCTCATCTCGCCATTCTAGGAATTTTCAGGACTGCAGAGGTGAATATTAGTGTTTCCAAAGAAAAGAGGTAGAGGAAGCACAGAAGAGGATGGGACCATTCCCCAGAGAAGAAGTAAAATTTTCTAGTTGTCTAGGAGAAGATTCTGTCTCTTCTAGTAATCAGAGAAAGACAACACTTATGTAGCATGCAAGGACTAAAATGAGCAAAAGTGACAGTTCCCTGTGTGATGAGGGCGGTAGGAGGGAAGGCCAGGAAGAAGGGGAAAGTCAGCCTCTGCTTTACTAATCATGGGGGGGGGAAGTTTGGGACCTCAAGTCACCAGTGACATGGTGTCACATGACCAGGAGTCAATCTGCTGGAGTCTTGGTCCAGATAGCGGCTCCTGCTCAGGTATCAGCTCCCTATTTCCTTGGCAAACAGCAGTGACTATGGCCAGGAAGAAGGAAGAAGACGAAGAGGAAACCGATCCTGATCCCTATATGTTGGTGTGAGTGGGTATCTTTGGAGACTCTTGGAGTAGGGGTGGAGGGTAGCAACATGATTTTCAAATTTGGAAGCATCTTCTGTTTTCCCTTGAGAACACCAGAGCCCCCAGCCTTTCTCCTTTTGTGCCTTATAAAAGGCAGGACAACGCCAGCAGCATGAATAGTTGGCGGCAGTGACTTGCAAAAGCGGAGGAGAGGAAGTGGTGATTAGGGAGCCAAGTGATGGGGGATGTG